CAGAGCGCTTAACATCAGTTTTTTTCTTTTAATTGTCACTGAAAGCTGTTGCAAGCAAAAATCCAGACTTATGTCATAGAGTGCATGAAACAGAAAACATAGGCCTGGACATGTGTAATGCTTTGGCATATGAGATCACTTTCATTCTAGAAGAGCAGTTTTTGAAGGTTCTGTGTGGCTTAGGTTCCTCAAATTATTTTTAAAAATTGAAGGATTTTGTAAAGGATTTGTGACTTAATGAACCACAGATTTAAAATTAGTATTGAGAAATACACTTTTGGCTACCATATTCTGAGAGAGGACTAGTAAATATTTACAGACCCATTCTGTCTTAAAAAGGCAATAATGAAACTGAACTTGTGAGCCTTCTGGAGAGTTTTCAAAGGTAGATGTGTGAGGAGCAATTATTTCCTACAAGAAAACACACTAAAAAACACACCACAACTTTCAACTACCTAAAGTCCAGGTTAATAGAGCGTACTTCTGGACTCAGGGCATCTGGACAGCTCAAATGAAATTTTACTAGGAATGAAGTCAAAGAAAATAAAGGTAAAGAAAGGTATTAGCACTTTCTTTTCCTTCTAAGAAGCACACAGAGTAATTTAAGTTTGAAGTCAGAATCAGGCAATACTAAAAACCTTTCATTCATGATGACTGGGAAATACAGAGATGGCATTTTTGCCAGGAATACATTTATTCATGATAATGAAATTCATAATTGGGGGTTGGATGAAGTATTCAGTCATGTCTTGGGATGGGATGTTGCCCTGTCTCAGGTAGAGACATATTTTAGAGCTGTTTTTCACATAGCAGAGATAAAGTGCTGAAAAAACAGGATCAAAATTTCCGCTGCTTAGAGTGCTTTTCTGGCTTGAATCCACAATGTTAGAAAGAACTCCAAATTAAAAAACAGGTGCACTATGTCCAAAGGCATTTAGGTGCCTAATTGTCTGTGAAAACAGTATGAGCTGTTGAAGATCTTGACAAGTGTGATTAATCTTAAGGGGACGCGACATTCTCCTGCATTCTTGCATCTTCTCCTAAGCCACGACCCAATATTGCCATAGGACCTATTCCACAGGCGGCTGAATTATCATCCAGATAAGCTGTGTGCCAAACGTTCTGCGTCAGCAGTAGGATATCATGTTTTATAATTCCCATTCAGAAAGGTGGCTTTGAACGGAAGTTATTAAGGAGATACAAGTGGAATACTTGCGCTAAGTGAATGTAGCTGGGGTGAGTCCAGCTACTGAGACTGAGGAAACTCAAGACCAGGAGTCAGTTACCAAGGACGGACCAGCTGAAAGCTCCAGATGGAAAGTACACTCAGGAAAACTGAGAAATGCCCCAAACCAAAGAGTAAATGAAGAGTAAAGTCAGGAAATCAAAGAGCTTTCACTGAAAGTTGTGGATAAAGGTGAGCTAGGACCAGAACAAGACAATGCAGGTTAGTTGAGAAGCAGGAACCGTGCAGAAACAAAGGGTTATTGTAAGGCAGTGAAAGCAGTTTGTGGGACTGTGCCTGAATTAGAAACATATGCCATCCCTCGGACAGTCAGGCTTCTCAGGACATCAAACTCCCAGGAGAGTACTGAACCCAGCTCCCAGCTACAGAGCTTGACTGCTTACTCAGGGCTGGAAAGAGGAGGATATGTGCCTAACGTGACACAAATAATCAGTTTGCTCATTCAGTGAAGACATGGCAATTTACAAAACAGGTAAAATTCGTATAATCACCCACCGGAATCACCAAATCTCTCAGGTTTCTTCTTTTCCATCTTACGCAACTCTGTGGACAGGAATGAAGCTGGGGTATGTGACTGACTGTACCATCTCTCAAGCCTCCTTCGGCTGCAGGGCTGTGCTACAGCCCTTTGTGCTCTCCAGGCACTCCTTCCAGATGTGTTCACAGATCAAGACAAGCTCTGCGTTTGGGGCTGCACAGCAGAACAGAGTTTCTATAGTGGTGGTGACAAAGATACGGTCCTTGCTGTGAAGGAGATGGGCACCAGTTGTTTGTGTTTTGTCTCAGTGTGAGACAAAAGACATGGATTACAGTCAGTCCTGAAGTGTGGCCACATCAGAAGTAGAATGTAGTCATTAAATCTGTAAATTAAAAGTAGGTATATTCTTCAACAGCTTGCTGACTTATTGGCTCTGTAATTGCCAGGGGACATTGAAAGGTTAGTCTGTTAGTTTAGGTACAGCGTACAATAGAAGTCAGGGGCTCACAGTGGAGGAAGGATGCAGTAATTATCAATATGAATGTACTTTACAGTGATATTGCTTGATAAATGCTATCTGCAGCATATAACTATTTCAGTTTTAAAAATCAAACCCACCCCCTCCCACCTAACTAAAATATTTTAATGGCATAAAATTCTGATTGTAGACCAGAGCAAAGATTATACATGCTATGTATTTTCTATGTCAGATCAAGACCCTTTGCAGTTCTCATTAACCAAACTGTAAAAAAAAAAAAAAAAAAAAAAAAAAAAAAAAAGATGTTTAGAATCCAAAATGTCTTATATATGTAGAAGGAATACGTTTAAAAAACAATCATTGATCAAACAGAAAATGAAACATTTCTGTTTTAAAAATAAAGCATGTAATGAGAAAATAAAAATTATTTATGAAGTCAAACGACTTTTAAATCTTTAAATTCCCCACATACCTTCTAGGATTATAGTAACCTGTGGAAGGTCATTATAGCTATAAGGGAAAAGATTAAATAAGCACTTAAGCAGACATAAATAAAACAGACAGGTTAAAAGCTATTAAATTGAACAAGACTAGAGGGAAACTTATCAGTGCTGTAAAGGAATCCAAACATGGAAGGAAACAAACACAGTGTTGAGAATGGCTAATGGGAAGTAACAACTCTGGAAGTACAAAATCTTATGAAGTCCCAAGTCATCTGTACCAAAGAAAGTTCTTGGGCTATAAAGAAGAGTACAAAGAATATATTACAGGAAAATGTCTGTAGTGAGTTCAGAGCCTTCCCCCCAAATAATGCAAAGCAGAAGATAAAATTTGCATTGAAATAATAAGATGATTGAAAACTAGTAGCTAGAAGGAGGCCTAAGAGAACAGCCTGCTATGGTGTTTGCTTCCACAAGTACTCAGCTGGAGTGGATAAAGGTGTGTCCTCTGACACAACTACCCATCTACCAAGGGAGAGAAATGTAAGGCTGAAAAAAAGCCTTAAAACATGGACTATGATCCAAGAGGAAGCATTCTTCCCAGGAAAAAGTCAGAGTGAAGGAAAGCACCACCTTCTTATTCAGGAAATACTGAAAGACAGTATATTTATGTCAGCTAGTCATTTGAATCAGGAGCATGCAGGAAGAGATACACCTGTGATAGAGGTGTTGGGGGGCTGATGGAGATGCAGTGTGTGCTGTGTCTGTTGGCCATGGCTAGAAATGTAGCTTGTTCTCTAAAGTAGCAATTTCATTTCTCCCAGGGAAAAATACACAGGCAATATGTGAAGGAAAAACATATTATGAAAAAGAAACAGCACCTTTTAGTTATTCTTAGGGCATAACTAAAGTTCCAGAGGTTTACCTTCACTGAAATCACTGAGTGATGTTTTCAAAAATTAAGCTTTAAAAATGAGGGATGGATTATACTCCAAGTATGGGTATTTCTAAATATGTCTGGGTTTATATATTTCTCAATATTTCTATTTTTATTTTTCTGACTTTTGCCTGTACAAAATATAAACAAAAACATTCTTAACTAGTTCTGTATGCCCAAAAGACACAAAAGTATGCATGCTTTCTAGGGAATGAAAAATAGCACACCACTTTGTAGGGAAAAAGTTAATTAAATACAGAATCAATTAAAAATGGTATGGAGGTCACCATTAAAAATGTACATGCTGCTGTCATGCAAAGGTATCTCTGCAACTCCATTGTCTGTTTCAAATACTACAATCTGCTAAATTTGGATAAATATTGACTTTTAATGGCACCTGATGTACCAACAGGCATGGACACTAAACAGTGTAAGTAAAATGCAGGTTATTGCATAAATTAAGAGTGCATCTGTTAGAGCTCATCATTTTATTCTCCCAAATTTTAATAAGAAATTTTGCCAACATGCTTACTGGAAATATTACAACATCTTCCTCCACTGAGAAAACCCAAAGGACCTATTTATCTGATTCAACTGTATCTTGTTTAAACAGAGGGTCATACTGAAACCAAAGGCTTGCCATTTTGCCCAGAAGACAGGTCTAAGATTTGACTTAAGACTACAACACATCTGCAGAAGAGGTTGAATCCTTTTCAACAGGTCACTTAAGTCATCCTCAGCAAAAGGAATACCAGCATCAATGATGCACCAAGGAATGACAACCACAGCCGCTGTGACTGAAGAGCCCGAGATTAAGGAAGAAGAGGCTTAGCATCCTGATTATATTTTCCGTGCATGCCAAGATTTGACGTGTAGTTAACCCAGCTGGGTCTAGGAACCCAAACAAAGTAAGAAAAGCAAACTCAACTCAGGCAAAGAATGCTTTGTCCTACCTCAGACTTAGCCCTCAGGTGATAAGGCGCTGCACGCTTTTAATTTTACCAGCTCGGGATATTTTTTTTAAATGGTCAGAGAAAAAGCGTGTCTGAATATTGAGCATGACACAAAATGTCACGAACGCTTAAAGTTGCGGGTCCTTCAGCCCAAGGCGGAAGATGCGAAGGGAAGGAGTGTGGTTTTCGAGATCCAGGGTGAGAATGCCCCTACATAAACAAAGGGCTCGGGATTGGACGTCGTCTTAGGGAAGTGGGGCAGAGGGGAGGAGGTGGGGGGAAGGAAAAGAACGCCTATGCTCCCCACGTTGAGAAGCCGTCGGGCGGCAGGGAGGAGCGGGGCCGCCCGGAGCGGAGCGCGTGGGGCGACGGAGGGGAGGCGGTCGGGAGGCGGCGGGCGGGCAGGCCGGTGTGAGCTGTTTGGCCACCGGAGCCAATCGAAAGCGGGGCCTTGATCCTCTCCTCGGGCAGTGGCTGCGCGGAGCCAGTGCCGCGCTCCCCGCAGCTGCCGGGACCGGCACAGCCGCCTCGCTCTCTCCGCGCACCGCCGGCCCCACCGAGCGCCTATGGGCATCTGCAGCCGGCGAAGGCTTCGCACCACCGCCACCAGCAGCAGCGGCAGCGGCAGAGGGCGGCGACCGCCACCCGGCTTCACCGTTCCTTGGGATCTATAGCCGGCGGACGGACCGCTGCGGTCCGCGCTGCGGACCCTTCCCCGCATCCGTGCAGGTATGGGGCAGCCGGGGGTCACCCCGCGCCCTGGCCTGGCATTGCTCCTCTTGCGGCCGGCTCGTTCCCTTCCTCCTCCTCCTCCTCCTCCTCTTTCTCCTTCTCCTCCTCCTCTCTTGCCGTCTTACCGCCCCTCCAGGGACTGGCAGCGGGGCCGGCGGGCTCGGTGGCGGTGACAGCGCGGGGCCGCTCCGCCCGCCGCAGCCCCGCCGCGCCGTCCCGCACCGCGCCCCTCGCCGCGCCCGCCGCGTCCCTGCCCCTGCCCCTGCCCCTGCCCCTGCCCCTGCCCCTGCCCCTGCCCCTGCCCCTGCCCGTCCCGGCGCGGGGATCCCCGGCCGTGGCAGCCGGACGCCCCGGCGCAGAGCAGCGCGTCCCGCAACCCCGCCCGCGGGGCGTTTGCAGGGGCGCGGAACGAAATCAGCGAGAGCCGGCGGCGCCGGGGGTCTGGGTGGCTTGCTCCGACCGCCCGGGGAAGTTACCTGGATGGCTCTCTCAGCGTTTGGAGCGTCGTGAGTCGCGTCCTCACGCTGCCTCCCAAAGGAGGCAAAAAAAAAAAAAAAAAAAAAAAAAAAAAAAAAAAAAAAAAAAAAAAAAAAAAAAAAAAAAAAAAAAAAAAAAAAAAAAAAAAAAAAAAAAAAAAAAAAAAAAAAAAAAAAAAAAAAAAAAAAAAAAAAAAAAAAAAAAAAAAAAAAAAAAAAAAAAAAAAAAAAAAACCCACCGAAAACAAACGGGGAAAAAAAAATAAGCTCATGCTTTAAACCCGTGCCCCTTTGTACCTTTCTTTCTTTGCTTTGGGTTAATGATGGTTTGTGATTATGAAACCCGACGAGGGATCAGCTCCAAGAGCGAATAGCATTACTTTAAGTCATGAGTTGGAAATATACATATGTGTATGCATACACTGGGTTTTTTTCTCCCCTCGCACTTGAGGATTATAATAATACAAACCCGTGTCTGTCTCACAAGGAGCTCCTGCTTGACTTTCTGCTAAGGCTGAGGAAATATTTGCGCTCCTACAGGTCTTACAGAATTGGAGTCACAGGTCTTATAAAAAATTGCAGTGGCATTTAGCTAAACAGCTCTTATTTTTAGCATGCTATTGTGAAAGTGGTTATATAACTTTGGTGGATTTTTGAGGACAAAATTAACAACTCATAACAACTTAAACCTCTTTTTTCTCTGAAAGAGGAGAAATAAACAGAAGAAAAGCCCAATGAGTAGGATCTGGTGAACTTCAGCCCAACAAATGGCCACAGTAGAGACCTGAGAAAAAGCACCAGGTTGTGAATCCCATAGTCCTCCCAAGAATCACGAAGCAGCAGGTGCAAGACCAAGCAATGTCAGCTCAGAGCCCTAGCTAGCAAGCTGGTTATCAGGCTGCATCAAGGCTATTTCTTGCTAAACCGGGGTGAAGTCAATATTCATATCCAAGTCTTGTGTTCCCATCAGTGCCAATACAACAGAGATACTATGTTCCCTTGGGGGATTTGTTTGTTGCTTGAACTTAAAGAAGTACGCACAGTCTGGAGTGCTTGCTTAGAGCGCTTGATGTGTTTTAGTGCGGATGCTTCACTTTCAAAACTTGGTTCCTGGCTCTCAGACTAATCTTTCTTATTTTCTTTCAAAGACTGAAAAAGAATAATACCCTAAGATTTTAAACAAATGCTATGAGAAAATAACTGAGTAGAAGTAAGGAACAGCAGTCTGCTGATTACTGAGAGCCAGGACATGAGGGTGCTGTCTCAGTTTTCAGGCTCTGAACAAGGTATCTCTCTCTCACTGTTACTGCATGGTCCTCATGAACTGCTGTCATCCAAGAGATGCAGTGAAGTCCTAAATTCTAAACATTTGTGCATGATTATTGTGCAGCTGTAGAGAGTGGACCGGTTTACTAAATCTCTTTTGTAGGATGAGCAAGAAACCTAGCAAGTAGAATTTTGCCTTCTCACCTCTGTTGCAGCCTGCTGTTCATGCAGAGCTATTGTATGCAGGGAGGAGGTGTATCTGGTAGCAGCGAGGTTTGCTCAGCCTTCCATTGCAGCATGACAAGTAAGTGAAAGATGTGTCAGTGAAAAGCATCAGTAAGACCTCTACAAAGATGGCACAAAAATAAATTAACCCTAGATTTTGAGCTGATTGATTGGTTTGGCTGAAATATTTTCTTTCTGTTTATCCTTTGAATAGACTGTGCATGACTTTAAGTGTGGAATAGAACAAATGTATGAGAATTAAACTGTGGAAATTTTTATTTTCTTAGTATCAGATGAGGGTAAAAATTAATATCTGAAATACCCACTGAACTCTGCAAATATATTGGAAATTGCTTGGTTTCAGTCACCATTTGTCAATGTCTATGAAAGTGTAAATCTCATAGATCCAGATCTTCATCCTTTGTAGTAAATAGTCCTATTGTGGTCTTGTGTAATAAGTTTGGTAACTGGTCCAATTCCAACTGCTCAGTTTCATAGTTCTTTACATTACTGCTGAATTCACATTAAAATAATTCTAACCCAAGCATTAGAAACTGGCAAGTTCCAATTTGAAATTGGTAAATTGGTGTTTATCCATTTCTGATGCTTGAATTAGAATTATTTCAATGAGCGGTTCAAGTCAGTAACAATCGAACAGTTCAAGTCACTGTGCACCTTAACTGACATCTGAAGAGGTATCTTCAACAGCAGCACAAAAAGGTCTTTCCCTTCACTCACAGAGGCTCATGGGTATGGTGGAGCGTTTATATTAGCACTGTGGTTCATGTCAGGAGTGGGCTTTTGATGCCCCTCCTCCAGTTCTTCCCACTTAACTGTCTGTCTCCTTATACCTCATGGTGGGCCAGCTGAATTCCTTTAAGATGAATCTAAACTAGAAGATGTGTCTGAGTCACTGCTGGAAATACAGTCCAAGGAAGCAGATCAGAGCTAGCCTGAAGTAAAACCCTATAAAATACATGCGGTGTCTTCTGTGCTTAAATGTTTTGCTCTTCCTGTCTGTTCCTGTTGGGCTGTGCTAGCTGTTAAAATAGACATGGTCCATTTGCAGCATGCCAGTTCTGATGTACTGCACCATCTAAAGCCAATTCTAGCCCAGGAGTGTGGGCTAGTTCCTGCTTCTTGCACCACTGCCCACATATGCGTTACCAAGAAACTCCTGGCTCAGCAGGAGCGCACAGCCGCTCAACCAACTATGGCTGTCCTGTTTGTATATATTCACACTGAGATCTCTTCAGTTCCAAATGAGGATAGTTAATTTTTTTTTGTAGTCTGGCATGTGATAGTGGGAACTTTGGATAGTGCAGCCTTGTGCTTGTCTGATAGATGTGCTTGTCAGTTGGTGCTTCATGTTTGCCTGTAACTGGCCATAGCCTGTCTGTGTACAAAGGTCCATAAGGCTGTTTATATTCCTCATTTCATGTGGAAGTGGTGAGAAATGCTGTCTTGAAACTTTAAAACTGTCATTTAGAAGTGCTACTCCATGTTCCCTGGGTGCAGCATTGTGGCTGACTAGATCTCCTGTACGGCAAAAAGTATTGCTTGGGATACCCTGTGGGGGTATTTCCTGGGTCCCAGCATATGATGGGAATCATGCTTTGACCCTGGAATCCAGTCCAGTTGCCCCAGGCAGGTGGAAATGTGTGATACCCAGGGAGATGTTCAGGAACATGCACTTAAAACTTGAAGTTTGATTAAAACATGCTAAATTTTTTTTTCTGTAGTTTTCATTGTAATGAGAAAAATTTCCATTCTCTGTTGTTTGGTGATTTGTATGGCTTTTTACAGTTTCATGTTTTTCTTTAGTTTGCTTCTTTGAGGAAAATTATTTTAAATAGAAAAATGATTCTGTTAATTATAAACAGGTATCTCTTGTATGAAAGCATGTCTTACTAGAAAATATAGTATCAGAGCAATCAGGGATCAGATCCTTCTCTCTCTTAGTGAGGGAACAGGTCCTTCTCTCACTTAGTAACAGAAGACAGTTGTCCTTGCTGCAAAATTGAACTTCTTACCAACTCTTCAGTTTTACACACATTTTCACAAAATCATGATGGAAATGATAGGGTTGCATGTGTAGGGCGTGAATGATACAAATATTCTTCTTGTGACTGCTCCAAGACTGCTTTTAAATCGCAGAAAATGTTGTGCTACTTGGAAGAATTGGAAGTGAGAAACAAGAGAGCATTTCCTTCTCACATGGTTGTATTTCTGTAGCTAAAGGTTGTCAACTGCAAACCTTATTTCAAGGCATAGCTTCTCTGTGAGATGAAGTATAGATTTTAACATGAGTTGTGTAGATGATGATATGTCACTTGAAACTATGGTATTTCTTGTTCTCAATGCATTAAGTCTTCTATTATCATTTTAAAGAAGATTTTTGATGCCTGTTTCAGAAAGGGAAGCAGACCATAAAAATCTGTCTTGCTCCAGGACATTAAAACAGAGGGCAATCTATCTTTCAATATCTGGTGTGATACAATCATGGCAACTTCAGTTGTAACCTGTCTTTCTCACAAAGTCATCTTACAGCACCTACTTTTAACATTATTTTTTCTTCTTCTAGGCTTAACTGTATTTATCTGTGAAATTCTGAATATTTTGTTCTTTGTTGATGTCTGCATAACATTTCTAAGAGTTATAATGATGTATTTTAGATTAGTCATAAAAGTAAGGGGGATTTCCTAAGGTCAGTTTTTCATATAGGCTCTGCTGCCATGTAGAATTACTTATATTGTAAATGTATGTTGTATATAAAAATATGCATGCTACTGTCTTTACTACAAGCTTCTTTTTGGAGAAAGAAAAATAGTAAATTTACATCTCATTCCAGACAGTTTTAAAGTTATTATTGTTTAGGAAGTGATTATTTTAAGAAACTATATTTTGTAATGAAACTTACAGAAATTAAAACTGTGATACCTTCAAATAGAGAAAGACTCCTAAAGATTTTGTTTCTGTCTATTTTGTGTTAAGGAAGTGAGGGAAGTAAAGTACACTGGGAAAGGAAAA